AAAAAGCAAAACAAAACAAAACAAAAAAAACAAAAAACAAAAATTTTACAATTATCTATCAACCTCACGAGCACTGACTATTGATATCGCTCCACTTTAGCAACTAATAAATTCATTTAAACTCATACCTATCAGTTACTTAAATCCAAGTCGTTTTCCACTCCATCCGGTATCCATTTATGTCTGCCTAGAAACCGTCTAAGGGAAAACTTGGAAGCTTCGTCAACGCTACTAAGTGAGTGGATGTATGTCGGTACCTTTTTGATGGGCGATCCTTGCTTGATGTTGCCGAATACAACATAATAAGTGGCATTTAATGGTGAACTACCTTGGAAGTAATAACCATCTATGTACTCGTCTAAAGAGGACAGCAAAACTGCTACAGTGGATGGAAGAGTCCCAAAATACCCGCCTAAGAACGCTGTTGCTGAGCTGTTTGGAGATTCTTTGACCACGTGGAACGAGCAGAGGTGGAAAATGAATTGACTAAAGTCATTGAGGGGTGACGACTGGCTGAAGAAAACAACCATTTCTTGGGGATATGCCTTCATGCTGAAGAACTCACATTTTTGGAAGAAGGAATTAGCGAAACCAAAAACCAAACTGCTGTGGCCCCGAAAAGTGCAGTTGCGGTAGAATTGTGATTTTCCATGCATATATAGAGTGGTGTTGTAGCCCTCCAAATTGCATCGATAAAATACTGACTGATCTCCCAAGTTCTCCACAGCAAATCCGTATCGATTCGTGTTCACAATTGTCATATCTTGAGAGAGAAAGTATTTGCTACGGATCCCTATTTACAATTCTAGTGACGATTATATCTGTAAACATTTGAATAAAATAAAGCATCAAACTTGACAGACGTATGAAGATGACTTACTTAGGGTGGCATCTTGCGGCCAAATGTTGTCACTATCCACGGATACACTAGTATTCGAAGTTATTATTGTATTTTCAGTTCCTTCACCAATCAACATCAAATTCATTTTCTCATCATTGATGCTCACTGTCTCATGATATTCGCCCGCCCGAATAAAAATACATATCTTTAACGAACTATTGTTCGGGCACCGATCCACAGCCTCCGATATAGTGGTGAAATTCGAACTCCCATCCTTGGCAACAGTTATGCTGATTGGGCACTTGGGTCTTGGCTCAACATTTGGCTGATCTTTTCGTGAGAGAAGAAACAATTTAACCATTACACCTACAAAAATAATGGCTGCTACCATAAATATGATCACCAGAACCCTCAGGCACCAATTACTTGGCTCTTGTTCAGGTGGCTCTTGTCCGTGCAAGTCCTCAAAAACGGCCGTCTCTGGAGACTCTTGTTCGTCCAAGTCCTCGAAAAAAAGAAACTCGCGTTGGGGGCTGTGATGATAAATGGTGCCGGCCACGGATGACGCAACATCGAAGCCCTCAAAGGGTCCTCCATGTGAAGAAGATAAGTCCGACTCCTGCGTGGGCTGCGTTTCAGACGACAACCTGGGTGGCAAAAATTGGCCGGTGGGCCCCGCAGAAACCATCTCTATGTCCACGCACGGCGGAGATCGGCTGACGCTTGCCTCTTCCGACGCCATGGAATAAACAATTCCTGAAATGATACGCGCTCATGAATTAATATGATTTTGCATTTGGTGAAAGCTATTGGAATGTCTTTTTGCGCTCTTCGTTTAACTTGTTCCACCAAAAGCTAGTTCCAAATATTTGAATGTGATGCATTTGAAAGATTAAAAGATGTCCTGTAACATTAATCTTATTCTTATATCAACCGACATAATTGTAATCATGATAAAAGAATTTCTGACAGATGGAAACAACTGCTAATTTTCACCGCCTCATCTCATAAGAAAGTAAATTAATTCCAGTCATGGGAACCTTCGGCCGCCTTATCCACCAACTTGTTACACCAGCTTTTTGGAGAATTGACGAGGGCAATTCCACCGATTTTGAAGCCTATAAATATGAAATGCCAGCCACTTTCTTTGTGTAAGAAAGGTTAGAGTGCAAATTAAATTGTGAGGTGTGCGATATTAGTTAAAAATACTAAAATAGAGTGAGTTGTTTGAGGTCCCAATTAATTGAGTTATACAATTGTAAATATATTTTGTGTTATATAAATTGTTTTCTTGTATATTACTCTTGAATTTTTGGTCCATTAACTTTCTCAAAAATCCGAAAACAACGGGAAAAGATGAATAGTCGAGTAAACCTAATTTTTCTCCCAAAAATTCCCCCCTTTCCGCCGCCTTCCGTCTCCTTCAATTGCTGCTCGCGTGCCTTTTTGTCAGAGGCTAGTCGGGCCTTCGCCGGCGGTCGGCCTATGGCTGCACGTCCGAGGCCTTGAGTTTTCGCTTTTCCTTGTTCCGTTCTTGCCGATGGACGCTGGCGGCGGTCCGCGGGCGGATTTTCTCTGTTTTCTGGTGTCGTTTCGTGGTTGTGGTGCGCCGGTGTCCATGGTGTTGAGGAGCTTCCAGGTGGGATGTGGATTCGAGGGCTGGCGTGGCTCGGGCTGCTGCAGCGTCTTTGTTGGGGCGGTCGGGGCTGAGGCGTCTAGCTCACTCCCTGTTCCTCTGTTCCCTGGCATGGGGTTCGAGAGGAGGCCGGTGCCGCCGAACTTGGGAGTGTTGGCCGAGTTGGCTTCAGCTTGGCGTTTGTTAAGAGTTTCGGAAGCGGTTCCTGAGGCTATGTACCAATCTTTTTGGGTTGGCCATGTATACATCTGTGCTTCGTGCTGGCTTTGGTTTGTCGATTGGGGGACGGCTCTTTTAGTTTAGTTATTTGTTTAGTGTGTTTTGTTTGTTGAAAAATGCTACATTTATTATATAATAAATGTAAATAGAGGTAACACTCATGTAATAAACTTGTTTGTTTTTGTGTTTTAGGTGTTTGTTTTGTTGTGTTTGATTAGATATAAGTAATTTTGGATTACATTAGATTTGTTCGATAAAGTGAGTTAATTTTGAAAATATTAATTGAGTTAATTTTGAGCTTGTATAAAATATATATAAATTATAATGATAAAAGTTGTTTTGATATAAAAGTATGACATATATGATTGAAATGATAAGTAGTTAAAATTATGTGCGTTGATGAATAGTAGTAAAAGTTAAAATTATGTGTTGTTGATGAATAATATTGAATTGAAGTTAGTACGATGTGTGGTATGATTGATTGAATTAAAGGTATAATTATTTATTTGCCTAAACAATAAATAAATAAATAAATAAATAAATAAATAAAAATAAAAGAAATACAATGAATAATATATGTCATGACAATAGTTCCACTTGTTGGAAAAACTTTCTCTTTCTAGAGTACTGTAATTTCATGGTCTTTTTGGATCTTCTGGGCCTGGTTGTGAGGGAGTTCTTTAGTTGTTGATTGTTTTCCTCTTCGTTTGGTTTGGATGTGGCTGCTTAGATTAGGAGTTTTCAATTTACACCTTATGCCTTTCCAGAATTTATTTGTCTGCTAGGGTTTCCTTGATCTAACCTATTTCTCTTTTCTTCTTTTTTTTTTTAGGATCTTCTTTTCTCTTCGAAATATAGGTAAGGGTGAGATCTTGGTTAATAGCTCTATCGGTGCAGTTGAATATTGAGATGGAGCAGGACATAATAAACCAGCTGAATAAGTTTGAGCTCACGATAAAGGAAGATAATAGAGTTGAGCTAGCAGAAGAAGATATTGAAACATGGATTCAAGAATGTGTTATTAGTTTAGTTAGAAGGTTGTATGGTGACAAAAGAGCGAATTTTGGAGGATTGAAAAATACGTTGCTCTCAATTTGGAATACTCAGAAGCCGTCCACTACTAGAATTTTGGGGCATAATCTATTCCAGTTTGTCATTCAGTCGGAGGAAGATAAACGAAGAATCCTAAAAGTGAAAGCGTGGAGCTTTGATGGCCAATACCTTCTTTTGAAGGATTGGAACCAAGAAAATAACATGTTTAATGAGGAGGATTTCAAAGTTGAGTTGTAGGTTCATATTCTGGATCTTCCTCTTCACTTGATATCGGAGGTAATAGTGAAATGGATTTTACCTGGGCTCCTTTAACTCGAACGACCTCCGTACCTGCAAGAACCCAACATCGAGAGGGGTCTCGACGTCGGGCCTCCGATGCCTAAGTCAGTGCTCGATCAAACATCGAAATTTGAAATTCAAATATAACAAACTCATGATTAATGATAGCATTAAATGCTACCCGATTTTTTAAAACTAAAAATAATGAGAAAAAAATGAAATGCAATTAATATTCTCGGATTTTTTTAATTGTTATTTCTGGTAAATGGTTAAATGTGAATGTACGTGCGTAGATCAATTAGAGATTGAGCAAACATTAAAAAAGAATCTGGGGAATTATGGTTAAATTCACATATACAATCTAAAAATACCATAAAAGTGTATGAAGATCTAAGATCAGTAATGATTATGTATTTTAATTACTCAAAAACCTCTCTATCTGAAGACCCCAACGTAATATGTGTTATATATTGCACCAAATCAATAATACTACTTTTATTAAGCGTTTAGCCTAAAACAAATAATGGCCAACTCCTATGCATTCTTCGGCTTCGCCTCATGTCTCGCCCTCTCGATCGCCTCAATCACCGGTCGCGGTGGCATTCTATTCACAAGTGCCGCCACCTTGGTCGACAACGTCTGCTACAAAACGCATGACTCACATCTCTGCGCTAGCATCATCTCGTCCGATCCGCGAAGCGCTAAAGCCACCATTGCCATTGTGCTGGCGGCAGACATTGTCGACTTGGCTTCGTACGCTGCCACTAACACGAAATTCAAGATTCATTCACTGCTTGAGTCGGAAAAAGATCCTGTTCGGGCATCCCTTTTGAGCTTGTGCGACACGCTGTATGCTCAATCTATCGGCTTCCTGCGGGACGCGGGGCGTGAACTAAAGAGTGGGGACCACATAGGTTTCGAGCTTCATGGGTATCAAGTTAGCCAGTCGGCTAGCAATTGTGAAGTCGGATTCTCGAAACCGTCAGTTGGCAAGTCTCCGATCACAGATGAGAACCGCCGCTTGGGAGCGTTGGGTGAAATTATTGGTGCTATTGGAACTATGCTATCACAATGAGTTAAAAGTACTCCTATTATATTAGGTGACTAGCTGATAGTATATAAAAAAGTTGTTGGAAAAATATTTTTATAGTAATTTTGACAAAAAAAAAAGTTTGAGTTATTATTAGCAATAATTTTCAATAAATACATGTGAATCTTTAAGAATCAAATAATTTAATCACTTTCTTAATTATACAATTTGGCCGAATTTTCTTTCCAAATATTTACAAAATAAATACAAATTGACCGAACTTTCTTAAATATGAAACACATTGAAATCTTTTTTTATATTAATCAAAGTAGATTCTTATAGAAAAAATGAGTCAATTATTTATAAAATCCAATCCAAATATTTTAGATTAGCCAACTTTTTCATATCATTTTTTTTACCCAAATTTGAGTTTCATTTTTTTTTTTTTTTGTAACAAAATTTTGAGATTCGCCAAATTTTTCTTAAAGCATCTCCAATGTTCAATGTTGTAGTGGTAAATTACATTACACTTCAACACATTTATTAATATCACAATTTTTCATTCTTCAATGTACAATGTAATCGCAAATATTTTGATGATGTTGACATAATTATTGTCTACAATGTAGATAAGAATGTGGTTAATCCACATTCTCCTTCACACTCTATTTAGCCAATGAGGAGAAGAGAGAGAATTATTATTACCATTTTCAAACTATTTAATTATTTAAATTAAATTTATTAATTCATATTAAAATTTAATATTTGACAAGTAGATATTATTGTAATTAGACAACATTGTGCATTGGAGATGATTTTTTAATTTAATAGTTGTTAACTCAACATTTGTTCTACATGGTTCACATCTATTTAATTTTTTGACATTTGTCCAAAAATTTTCTATGACTATTAGAGCATTGGAGATGCTCTTACCATTCTTTTAGGAAACAAAAATAGTTTCAATTCATTTCAAAAATATGAATTTCATAGAAATCCCATTTTTTTGGTAACAAAATTTGAGATTAACCTGATTTCGTCGAATTTTCTTTCCAACGATTTAGGAAACAAATACAAATTGGCCAAATTTTCTTAAATATGATACTCATAGGAATCTCATTTTTTTTTAACCAATTTGGAGATTCTTATGCCAAAAAAATATCAGTTATTTATGAAATGAAATTCAAATACAAATTAATCCGTACAACTTCTTCATATCATCTTTATTTTTTTACCATAATCTGAATGAAATTCAAATACAAATTAATCCATACAACTTCTTCATATCATCTTTATTTTTTTACCATAATCTGATTTCTTTTTTTTTCTTGGTAACTAAATTTTTTTATTGACCGGATTTCTCTTTTTAATTTTTTTAGGAAACAAAACTGATAAATTTCTTTCCAAATTGAATTAGACTCTTTCCTAACTAGTCTACTTGCTCACCAACTACAAATTACCCTTGCCTAAACTTATATTTGCTAAATTGTGAAAGCACTCTTTAAATCAATAAATTATTAATTTATTGATTAATTAATATCTCTGTAAGTTAATAACATTTTGTAGTCCCAACATTATTAATTTCGAGGTTTTACTTATTTTGTTTTGTGTTTTATAGTTCGAATTGTAAGAACTAAAAACATCAACTTCAGTTCATAAGTTTCTCGTTCAACACTCAGTTTGTAACATTCATAACCTCATATAGTTTAACATGGATGCAGGATGTTTAAAGCCACGCTTAACTAAAATCTTACTGTTTCAGTTACTCTAGAACAATTTACAACATGTGACCTAATATGTTGCTAAACTTATGCACGTTAAAAGTTGAACAACTTTATATAGAGAACTATGTTAATATCCACCATGAATTTATGACATTCTCTTAAACAGGGCCTTTAATTAAATGTGCCACCGCACATGAAAAGAAAACAGAAGGAATAAAAGCATAATATGCAACATATAGATTCTGAGTTCTATAAGAAAAAATGAGTCGCTTGCCTTCTTTTCAACTGTTCACTTAATGAATCATTGCTAAGATTTCATAACCATAATCGAAAGCATAAAAGAACTATCATACAAATCAAAAGTGTCATTTTTCGGACTAGAGATTACCAAACAACTAATTAAACTAATTGCTACAAAAGAAAGTATGTTTGATTAACTCAGTAGCGACCAGCTTACAATGATAGGCTGAATCTGGAAGTGTCAATGTCTGCAAGGAAAAAAAAAAAAAAAAAATAGAAAATTATAGTTTGTTCGCCAACACCAAAAGCACTACCTTTTTTGTAAGAATTTTCAGAAATAAAATCAATTCATCAAAAACTTAGTCAGATCCTAAGTCGTAATCTATCCCAGGAGGTATCCAATTGTTCACGTCCATGAAGCCTCTTAAGGAAAATTCAGCAGCACTCTCAACACTAGGCAATGACAGAATATATGATGGAATATTTTTGATAGGCTCTCCATTTCTTGTATTTTCATAAATCTTATACAAGCAAGTGTTTGGAGGAGGACCACCAAGGTAATAACCACCAATAGAACTGTCCAATGACGATTGTAAAACTACAACGTTCCCAAAATCCCCAAAATCTCCTCCGAGATACGTTGTTCGAAAGGTGTTGTTGAATTTCGGGACGACGTGGAACGAGCAAATGTGGAAAATGAATATATAATAATGAGATGGCCTGGGTGGAGTTTGTGTGAAGAAAAAAGTTCTATCCTGAGGATACGATTTCATGCTAAAAAACTCGCACCTCTGGAAGAAGGAATCGGCAAAACCAGACACTAAACTAGTTTTACCGTGAAAGGTGCAACTCTGATAAAACTGTCTAATTCCTTCCATGTGCAGGGTGGCATTGAATGCTTTCAATGTACACTGGAAAAAAACAGTTTTATCGCCGAAATTCTCCACCGCTAATCCATACTCATTTTTGTTCTCGATCGTCAGATCTTGCGCTATAAAGCCTTCGCCAAGGATCGCTGTCGCAATTTTAAAACAGTGAGAATGATATATATATATATATATATATATATATATATATATATAGATAGATAGATATATGAAACTCAAATACAAGTACGGACACATACTGAGTGTGGCAGATGGCAAGATACTGGTACCGACAACTAAACTCGAATTTGATGTTATGATTGTCTTCTCAGCTCCCTCTCCAATCAACATGACATACATCTTTTCGTCGGCGATGTTCAGTTTCTCATTATACTCGCCCGCCCGAACCAGAATGCAAATCTTGAAAGAGCTGGAGTTGGAGCTGGGGCACGCATCCAAGGCATCCGAGATCGTTGTAAAATTCGATTTACCGTCCTGGGACACAGTGAGGCTGAGTTGGCACTCAGGATGCGGATGAAGCTTGTGAGTTTTTAAGTGGTCTTGTCGTAAGACCAAAAACAATATCGCTGTTATGGCTACAACAGCAATAAGCCCCACCAAAGCAATCGCCATCAGAATCCTCCGCCACGTCCAATAATTTGGTGCACCAAAAGAAAAATCAGTCTCATGTGTCACGGCCGATGTTCCTACAGTCTCGACTGATGTTCCTACAGTCTCGATTGATGCATGTGTGTCAAATGAATGTCTTGGTGGCGTCCCCATCTCAACCATCTCAATGTCTACGAAGAGCGGGTGCTGACTGGTGCTCCCAATGTCAGACGCCATTAAAAACTCTCCTGAAATAAAATGAGCTAGCTCGTGATCAATAGGTTCCTGTTAATTTGTGATGATGGGATGATAATAAAGACCAAATTAAATTTGAAAGTGTAATGTACTTTTGGTTTATGAAAGGTTATAAACTTGGTGAAGCACTGAAACTGTTAGATTTTTTTTTTTTTTTTCAGGTGTTTATTTAATATGTGGCAAATGATTGTTTCTAACAACGTAGATTTGTAGAACTTCTGCTAAATTATAAAACTATTTGATTTAAAATAAATTCATATATTAATTGTGGTATGATGTCATTTTCAAAATCCAATCATCCACCTTCCAATGTAAGACAACTAAACTAAATTATTTAGTTAAAATTTTCAAACATAATGACGTCAATATATGTAGAATATTAAAAATACAATTATAACGCACGTCAGCGAGTGCAGTCTTTAGAGTGGGTTAATGACTAATATATAGCATTAGCAGGTCATTTAATCTTTAGAGCATGTTGGGCCGACGGGCCTGCCAAAACCCATCATTTTGTCAGGGTAGGGCGAGCCTATAAATTTCCAGCCCGGCCCACTCCTGCCAAGGGTCATGGGCTAGGCGGACTGGCCCGACTACAGTTAAAAAATAAATAAATAAATAAACTTAAATTAGAGCTTCAATTTCAGACTTCAAGTATTAGACTTCAAATTTCATTCATCAGACATTCATATTCACAGAGTTTCAAAGAGTTAAGACATACTCACAGAAGTTGTTGTCGGAAGGCACCTCGGTCTGTCTCTGTCGAGTGTTGCCGCCGGTCACCGGATTGTTGAAACTTGGAAGAGCCTACAGACTTGAACGTTCAACTCCCTACGAAATATATCATGACTATAGCAACATGTGCCTTGATATTTTCCTTTCACTTCTTTCCCCCTATTTAATAACAAGTTTGTTCATGTTAAATTTTTTGGCCCATGTGATTACGTCTTCCCGCCCGTGATATATACTGATTTTGATCCGACAAGAAAAATTGTAATTAAAAGTCATCTTTCCCTATTGGGTATCTCCAACTGATGTGACCAACTATAATTTATGCAAAGCA